GACAACAAATTAATAATAAAACCGAATCATCTTGTATATTACCACGTGATACGTATCTTTGTATAAAAATAAATTTTATTGAAAGTTTTAAAATACATATGTATCAATTCATAAATTATTTAATTTTCATGAAATTAATTAATGAGTTCATTAATTAAAATCAATTTTATTCTATTTATAATTAGCTCAACTCGCAACATCTATAATTGAATATAATGTTCTTAACATCACGTATATTTCTCCGAAAATATCTTTTAAATCTTTACATCTCTATTAAATCTTTCGGATCAATCTCTTCTTTATTAATATTTTACGAAAATGTTCCATTGGATCAATGGATGAGATGTCAAAGGTAAAGAAGAATCGTTCTCACTCTGTGATTAATTTCGTCTGGTTATAGTCGGAGCAATTAACGCGTCATATTTCAATCGTATCGGAACGATTGAAACGGAAATTTCAATCGCTTGTGTACTTTATTAATTTTTTCTGAATTATCGCTCCTTCGCGACAGTCGCGAATAGTAGATCGATACTGCACCTCGCTTGGATATGCAATAGAATGAATTATTCCTTCTCGTCAAATAAGCCGAAGCTGTACCTTCTATAAATAACGTTATTCCACGACGATTCTTCCACGTGGTTCAACCATGAGATATTTACAAACTGTTTCTCGCACAGATTGCAAACATTGATTATATGTATAAACGGACTGAGTGTACATTCTTCAAATTTCTTATCGTTATATGCGCAACAGAATGCATAATTTAATGTATAATTAAAATTCTCTTAATTTTAAACACGTCTAAAAAAATAAAAGTCACACGTCACAAATCATATTTCCGTTATAAAACAGATTCCAAAAAAAGTATACTTTTCAATCATTTACTCTCCGTTAAGACATACTTATGTCTACATAGATTAATTTCAATCTCGATTTAACTTATTTTTTTCTAATTCTAAGAACTAAAAAAAATTGAGATTATATGTTCATCTATATTGATAGAAATGAATATTAATCCGCGAATACACTTTAATCTTCAATATTCCTCTCTCTTTCGCGTATTACACAAATCTTATATATTTATTATAAATATTTTCACGAATTTATTATGAATTTTATGCTGTCAAAATCTTCTAGTGGCAGTACAAACAGAAAAACGAGCAGCCCGATATATCTCGTACAAAAATATTTCATATAAGATGAGTCTCGAGGAGAGAACTGATATTGGAACGATGGAATCTCTCCTCAGCGTGTAGAGCACAGTGAAGTAGCAAAAACTACCAATAATATCCGATAGCCAACGTAAATAAAACTCCGAAATAACACCACGTAAGCGTGGCTAATGCAAGGAGTGTGCAGTATAACCGGGTCCAATTTATCAGTGATATCGACAACCCGTCGGGACTTACCTTGGCGATAATAGGGATCGAGTACAACCTAACGCGTTACACATCGACGTACGTCGCCGTCGCGTCGCCGCCGCGACGGATTTAGGCGCGTCGATAAATAACGTCGCCAGGTGCGCGAGCACGCCGAAAAGCTCGCTCGTTCGCGCGAATGAGTCTTCCATGTCGGCGGCCACGGGCCGTAAATTAAGGTCAGAGCCAAGAGCGATATAAGCAGCAACCGCGAGAGAGAGAGAGAGAGAGAGAGAGAGATTGGAGGGGAGATGCGAATAGATATGCAAATCATGTACACACTCGGCTGTTTACGTCTGTCGATCTACTGTCAAAGCAACACGCCGCCAATATAACGTGAACTCTTCGGCAGAGTGCGAGTTCGACTGGTAGACAAACTGCGATTGTGCAAGCTTCGATAAAAAGCTTTTACTTTACTTCCTGTCTCTTAATCCGAATTAATCTAATCAAGTAATATCTGGTGTTAAAAGACGTGGCGGTAGTATCGTTTTGTGATACTACCAGTTTTAAAAAGAATCGTTAAATGAAACAAAAAAGAAATGTGTCGACAGATAATACCGTTCATGATTGTGAGCTAAACTCGCGTTCAATAATGCCGTAGATTAAAGGACTAATTCGAGGATATTCAACGTTAAAAGCTGAAGTGAAGAAATGATAAATGTTTCAAGAGGAAAAGTCACACAATAATGAAGTTTATCAAGATAAAAGACAATACGGGAGGAAATTAGAACATTCTCTATATCGTAAATGGAGAAGATAATTTGTTTACCAATTGAATTTAACGATTCTTTTACTTATTGATTAAATATTAATTTACCTTGGGCTTGTATAAGAAAAAGAATAATACATACACTCTATAAATCTGTCAATGAAAATTTTACTGCTAATAAAAGTGAGTAGCAAAGTCATTGCTTTAAGTATGGATTTTCACTGCTTTGAAGTTAGTCTGTCTACTCTTACATAAAGGAGTGGACTATTTCATTCGATTAATCGAAGTGGTTTAAGCTGATAATGCATGGTATTAATTGATAATGCATTGCAAGATGCATTGAATGTTACGACAAGGAGTGAATTTAATGACATAGCGCACCGTTTGTCACATGTTTGTCGTTTGTCATGGTCGTTACGAGCGAGACGCATCTTGAGAAAGACACATATGACATAATATAAGAGACAGAATAAAATAATTAAAAATAAAATAATAATAATTAAAAATAAGGTTAATAGGTTAATAGATTAATAACATGCTCTGTTCAAAATCTGTCTCCGTAGGCTTTGTTATCTGGATTTGGAATTACATTATTCTGTCATTATTTTAACCTCCAAATTCACTTCTTTTTGGAATAAATTTTTCACTCTAATTATCGAATGGATTTTTCCATTCCTATCTTGCAGTAAAATTCACTGGCAGTAACATTGGCGCAATTGCCACTAATGCCTGTATTAAAATTTCAATTTAATGCAGTGAAATTTCATTACTACAGATTTAGAGTGTATATAAACTTATATCATTAATCAGGATTTTTATATACACCGAGAGAAATATCTGGCATGAATAATCATTTATTTTGTTGATATGTAATTTACAAAAATCTTCTAACTTTTTAATTAAAAAATTTTGTTTTATTCAAAACTTAGAATAATTTTTAGAATAATTCATGCACATATCAACAAAATAAATGGTTATTCATACTAATCATTTCTTTCAGTCTAGGTACTTTTATATACGTGGAAAAAATGATTTTGCTGAAGTATCTAAAAATTTAGTTACATAGATATAGAACTGAAAACAAATTTGTTGGATCATTAAAACAATTATTTATAACGCTTAAACGTTGATAACAATGCTGCAAGAAGTTTTAATATTCTGGCAACCAGTTTGAGCGTCCTACATAAATTATTTGATCCAATAAAATTATTTTCAGACCTGTATCTAGGTAAATTTTTAAATAAACTTCAGCAAAACCGTTCTTTCCGCGTATAGTATATTTTAACGCGATTGACATTACTTCCTTTCAGTCAAAGTCTGTTAATCCTACATCCAGACAAAACAATCTACAAGAAAGATAATGTATTTCGACGTACATATGTATACTTTGCAACAATACGCTCACATTTTAAATGCAATTACATTGCAGTTTCCCTTTAACAATTGGAATCCGGTCTGCGTGAAACTTTAATCCGTGTCGGACTCTTTAATATGGATTTAGCAATTAAAAATATTTACCCTGAGATAATCCCAGGGTCTCATCTTAATAATTAACGATAAATCGAATAACAATGTAGCAATATTCCTTTAATCGGTTTAACAATAATGGTAAATGTAGCGTAACTAACAATTATAATCGCAACGATGAGACTAATTTTCTGAAACTAGGTAACAACGTCATAACAGAGCGATAATAACCATTGATGGTAATGACAATGATGACGGTAATTAAACAGCGGCAGATAAATAATATCGGTTAATAATAATATCAGTTAATAATAGCGCTATTATTTCAAAGTTCACAATCTGGATTCTTTTGCCGAGCTCCCAGTAAGTGCCTCGACGTAATGATCGCGAGCGACATGATGACGATGTCATCGACGACGGAAAAGATCGGCCCAGTAATGCGCATATTGCAGCCATACGCTACAAAATGATACACAGAAAAAACGGTTTTGCTAAAGTATCTAAAAATTTAGCTATATACGGCTCTGAAAATAATTTTTTAAACTATATAATTATCAAAATAATTTAACCACAAGCTTGAGCCTTTTGAACTATATAATTATCAAAATAATTATATAGAGTGCTCAAGCTTATTAGATTATCAAAAGTTTTTACAGCATTGTTCATTATTCTTGAGATTCCTACATAATTATTTTGACGACTCAACAATTATGCAAAAATTTCGAGCTAGATAAACAATACTGTAAGTATTGGCATTCTAGCAATAAATCGAACGTCCCACATATTATAATTATTTTTATGGCCGAACAAAATTATCAGATCTATAGCAAGACTTTTAGATATTTTTGAGTTCCTTCTTTCCATTTACACGTTGCCAAGGATTTTTTCCATGAACGACACAGCAGTTGGCCGACACTTTTTTAAAGATTTCAAACAACGCGAGCAGACTTTTGGTCTGCCGTGTGTTATTGGCCTAACCTGTGCAAATGCAATCCGGGAAATCTCCCTGGAACAGTCGCTGCTCCGAGAGCTCCACTCCTCCGACGAAGCTGTTTTGGAGCAGGATGTTCCCCGTGGAGAAAAAGCTTGTTCTCATTAAAAAAAAAGAGAGGGGAGAAACGAGCACTCACATATATCGATATACGTATGATAAAAAGCACGCGGTGCGATATTGTGGGTGGAATGTCGAGAACGCGTAAAAAGCAGGGACGCGACGACGAACCGGCGGCGAAAGACAAGACAACGCGACGCTTCTTCCCCGGTGCTCTCTTCGCCTGGCCGAATTGGAGGTTAACCTGTCACTCGATAGCGAATCGATTTTACGGCGAACGGGAGGGAGAACGAGAGGCGGAGACGGACCGCGTTCGACCGCGCGGCAGCAATATTATGTAATTTCTGGCACTCACCTGGGTTCGCAGAGCCGTGCGGACGTTCCGCGGTGTTCCGCGGGTGACTGGTGCGGCTCCCGATGCGGGCGTCCCGTCCGTCTGTCCGTAGAAGACGGAGATAGCGGAGGTGGAGAGACGATGATTACAGAGAGAGAGAAAGAGAGCGAGGGAGAGACGTGCGGGAGAAGCGACGAGGTCACATACACACGTACGCACGCCTTGGCAGTCGCCGACGGTGGAGGCGGCGGTCCGCGGTGGTTGCACACTCCGCGTTTCGCGTGAGATAAGAATGATAGATAGAGATAGAGATAGAGAGAGAGAGAGAGAGAGAGAGAGAGAAAGGGAGAGACAACGTCAAACTTTATCACGAGAGCAGCATGACGCGCGACGGGCCTGCAAGCATCGTGCAACAACGACGGGTGAAAGAAATGACAACGAGGACGGGAACGGGGACGACGACGACGACGACAACGACGGCGACAACGGGTACACACGCGCGACACCACCGACACTCGATGACGTCATACCACCGGCGGCAACATGGAGCCCACCGACGTACGTACGCGCGAACACGAACACCACGACGCGAGCCACGCACAACGACCACGACGGTAGTCGACCGTTCGCTATTAGCCGAAGGAACCGTGCCCGTGCGCCGCCTAACCTCAAAAACGTTTGCGCCGGAGTAGCCGCGAAAGAGAGTGTGAGAGAGCGTATACAGTGCCAGCCGCGGCAGCGGACGCACCCCGTGCGCAGCGGCGACGAGACACGGACCCGAACTGAGACGAAGTCCCGGCCGAGTCGCGCCGAATCGACCCGAACGCGCCCGCGAACGCCGCTGAACGCCGCTGAACGTCGCGCGTCGCGCGCTGCTCCCGTTGCCTCCGAACTCCGAACTCCGAAGAGTCCGAAGTGGCCTGAAGTTGCCTCAAGTGGCCGAACGTCCACGTTCCGCCGCCCGTTCGCGCGCGTTCGGCCGTTTTCGTTTCGGAGTTTAACTGCGGAGTAGTGCGGAGTGCGGAGAATCATTCCGGCGGCGTGTATGATGCGATGTGGACGTGATTGCGCGTAGCGATCGATCGTGCGGTGTCATTCTAACCTCTTCGCAGGAGCGTACGAATTGTCAACCGAAAGTCTCGTTTGATCGCTCTATCGTACGTAAACGATCAATTTCTCGATCGTGGCGCGGCATACGAGTTTTGAACGGACGCATTTTTCATATGATCTCGCTTAATCGTGATTAACTTCACTCGTGACTAACTTCATTCGTTCACTTCGAGTGAGACGATTTGAAAGTGAACCTTTTGCCCGGTATCATCACGAGTTTCCGACGATTGTTCGTATATACTCGGTCTCTCGTGACAGTCGACGTTAGGAAAGATTAAACGCCGCTTACACGATTAGGTACAGGAAATGATATGCGAAAATTAGATTCTACGAATGACGAAGTAACTTTGATGCTCTTTGAATATAGATCGGAGTGCGCGAACTCCAAGGTCATCGTGGCTTTTTAGTCATTCTTGGTGCTCTTGCGAGTCTTGCGTAGTCGATTTATTCAGTAACTTATCCCGGGTAGAACACAAAATCATAATAAAATCTAGATAATGTCAAGTTAAATTACATCATTTTAGGAAAAATCTAATGCACATCATTATTCAATACAAAATTTTAACGAGGACTTGAATGGACCAGATAAATTATGTGATGAACGCTATATTTATGATAATTTATTTGGTCCATTCAAGTCCTTGTTAGGACTTTGTATTGAATGTTTAAATTCGACAGTTGATTTAACATTATGTTATTTTTATATTTTATTAAATAATTAAATTGATATTCAACATTTATTATGTGTCAAAATAACACAATTTATGAATAAGTAAACAGTAATAAAATAACAAAAATAATGTATTTTAAAACGTAAATTCAAAAATAAATAAATATGTGTAAATTCAACATATTATAAATTGTAATGTTACTGAAAAAATGTATTTCTACAGTTTGCTTAATATAAAATTGGATCAGTTTTATATTTTTTGCGTTAACCTTTTACATAATATTTGCGTTACTTTCTAACATATTCATCTTATTAATTTAATACAAAAATTTGAATGGATCGTTTAAGTAACGTGAAATATATTTAATACGTGAAGTATCTTTAATTTAACACAAATTTACCAACTTTTATACCCAATTTCTTCACTTCCAGAGTTGCGGACAACCTTATCCAGGAGATATCTCCATCATATTCTGGGAGATATCTCTTGGATAAAGTTATCTAGAGGTGAAGAGTTTTAAGTATATTTTTGACGATGATTTTGTGATGAATTGATATAGTTATTGATATAATTATTTTTTAATGATTTTTAAGTGATACTTTAGCTAAAAATAAATAATTTAATGATTTTTAACTAAAGCATACTTAAATATCATTGTCATGTCAAGAATTCATCGCAAAATTATCGTCAAAAGCGTATCGAGTAACATCATAATTTTTCCTAAATTATTTCTACTTGATATATCATCTATGTTTTATATTCTTTTATATAAAAAGTATACGTATTGCAAGTACATGTACATATTAAAAAAAGAAATTAATTTTCGTGGTATGTATTTTTCAATTTAAAATATATTTTTTTACGTTACATTAAATTATCGCATAAAAATAAAATTTTTTCAGAGTTCCTCTAGCCGATCAAGATGACGCCGTCACTTTACGTCTCGCGAATAAATCAGATTGATGCTGCTCAATTGGACGGTGAAATTTATAAGATGCTGAGGAATCAAACCAAAGAGATCGCTAAATACTGCACGCCCGGTAAAATCGACAAATGGCAAGCGGAAGTGGACGCCGTTCTGAAATTTCTCATCTGGAAATTCTCGTTGCAACGAGGCTCTTCCACATTTGGCCAGCGGCTTCTCAATCTGCACTACGCCAACATCAATCAAAGAAAAGCTATACTCTACTTAATCCTAAACGTCGTACCTCAGTACTTGAAAGACAAATTGGCCTACGAGAACTTGTCCGAACGTGGCGCATTCGCCCGAGCGCTAAAGTCGCTCGTCGACTGGATGACGAACGCGATCAATCTCCTGGAGCTCATCAATCTACTCCTCTTTCTCCATCGGGGTGTAAAACCGCGCGTGATAGAGCTTCTGCTTGATCTGTCCAGTCAGTCGATAACGACACATCGACCCAGAATCATCGGTTACTCGTACATGACGAGAGAATTGCTTTGGCACGGTCTGATGGAGCTCTTCACGATTGGTATACCCATGATAAACCTCCACTACCTGAAGCACGTAGTAACGAGACTATGGCGACGACCGAAAGCGTCGATTGGGTTGTTGCCGGTGATGAATGCCGCGACCAAGTGCGCCTACTGCTACGAAGACCCGATCCTGCCATCGCACGCCGGCTGCGAACACTTGTTCTGTTATTACTGCCTGCAAGCACACTTTACCGCAATGAGCGCGTTCCAATGTCCCAGGTGCAACGCGGAGCTCCATGCCGAAGATATGAAAAGATATACAATCGTGAGCGCGTCTTGGAACGACGACGAGGAATCGGACGATAGCTTCGAGAGAGTGGACGATGGATAACGCGAACGTACGTATATTTCCAGTTTTATCAAAGTTAAAAGTGACTCGATGCTCGAAGTGATGTTATTGTGATGAACGAGTTACGTGTCTGGACTTTCAATCTTAAGCACTATCTTTACAAGTGAAAATGATTTTTATTATTATGTGATAACCTGTTGATTCCACAAAGAGAAAGATTTCCTGCAACGACCAAAATAATTAAATAAAATAATAGTGATTCGTTGCAACACAGCGAATAGAATAAGTACAAAGATAATTTTATTATATATATATCAAAGTTAATTAAATCTTTTAAAAACAATTTGATTATTATGTTGGAATTAATTATAAATTTCCTAAAAATAAATAATTTAATTATTATATTGGAATTAATTAAATCTCATTGAAACATATAAAATATAAATAGAAAAAGATTCGCCTCTGATCGCCACAATCGATTTATCACGAGACACGAAGAGGTGTATGTGTGTGATATTAATATTTAGTTTTTATTAAAAATAGCAATATACAAAATCTTCTTTATTCCTCATTTCAATACAACAAATCCCGATTTCGGGCGACTTCGACATTCTCGTTTCTTTCTTTTTCCGAAACAAACATTAATAGATCAATACATCCTCTCTTGGCTCTTATATCAAAATTAGATTAGATTATATTATATAAAAATATTGTGCTGCGCTGTATATTATAAAACGCTTCATCTGCCGCCACGCAGGTCGATGGACCAATTGTTTACATGCAATAATGACACATTCATCGATTAATTAATTTATCATTAAGTTGCTGCACCTGCGCTCGATGGGCGGGCACGTCCCCGGATTTATTACACAAGAAACAATATTATGAACACTATAGCACAGAAAGAAAAAAAAACGCGAAACACATACACATAAATTAACACTTTCCATTCGCCTCTCCTACGACACTACAAATTTCATTTGAATCCGAACTCTCATCATTTTTCCTTGGAATGTATGATTTATAGTACAATTATATAGCGCGGTTTCTTTTTCATCGTTTTGTAAGAAATCCCTTCTCGAAAGATTGAGCTGTTATTTCCTGAGGTATCCGCGCGTTTACACATTTGCGCCTCACTCTAACATTAATCTTATTAATCGCGACGGAATCGGAGTTCACCCGAAAAATAATAAGGCCTGTGAGAAACGCGACGCATTTAAATTACAATTGCTATTCTATATTTTGCATTCTATTTGTGTTCCGTCTTCCGCCTTTTCCACATTGTGTGTGCATCGCGCGCATTCTTTTTAAAATTAATTTCAAAAAATAAATATATATAAAGACTCTTGTTATCAAATAAAAATAAAAATTAAATAAAGGGCATATAAGAGTCAATAATCAGTAGAACTTAAGAATAAAATAAGGACATGTAACATAATTTTTTATATCAATTCTTACAATATCTTGGTGGTATGTCTCGATTGTCTAACAATATTATATAACGTATAAGATAAATTATTTGGGTTTAAATTAGCTTAAAGGCGAATGCATTTGAGGATGAGGAGCCATTCACTCATTGGCAGCAAGTGCGACCACCGTAAAACGCACTTCATTAGGATCATGTTCCATGTATTCCTTGTACATGCGACAAAGTACACCTCCACATTTTCAGTTAAAGGATAAACCGAATAAACATTTACCAGCGTTTTGGAACGGAATTTCTTGTGGAAGATATCATGAGATATTCGATATAGCTTGGGTGCCCTTGGAGTCGAATCTAAAGGTTATGGCGAAGTTCCTCCACAAGTTGGGTATTCCAAAGAAGTGGTCGATCTTATTTGCATACGGCTTAGAGTCGGAATTGTTGACAATCATCCCTAGGCCTGTCCTTGCTATTATTTTGCTTTATCCTATTTCTTTAAAGATTGAAAAGATTAAGAAAAACAAGCAAAAGCTAAGGATAGCAAGAATGATACTGCAGAATCTGTTTATCATATAAAGCAATCTATTTCGAATACGTGTGGAACAATTGCATTACTTCACAATGTGGCGAATAATTTGGATGTGATACAGTTGGAGGATGGCTTTTTCAAAAAGTTTTTAGAGGAAACCAAAGGACTTTCGTATATTGAACGTGGCGAACGTTTAGAAAAAACGCAAGACATCATTGATACTCATATGGAATTTGCCCAGGAAGGACAGACCGAGGCATCGGCTGAAGATGTAGAGGTCTACCATCACTTTGTCGCGTTTGTCCATAAAGACGGTTCCCTATATGAGCTGGACGGTCGAAAATCTGCCCCTATCAATCACGGTTCAACTACACTGGAGACGTTTCTCGACGATGCCGCTCGCGTGTGCATGGAATACATGGAACATGATCCTAATGAAGTGCGTTTTACAGTGGTCGCACTCGCTGCTAATGAGTGAATAGCGCCTTATCCTCAAGTGCATTCGCCTTTAAGCTAATTTAAGTCCAAATAATTTATTTTATACGTTATATAATTTTGTTAGATAATCGAGACCTTACACCATCAAGATATAGTAATTGATATCAAGAAATTATATTATATGTTTTTATTTTGTTTTTAAGTTCTACTGATTATTGACTCTTATGTGTCCTTTACTTAATTTTTATTTTTATTAAAATTAATTTAAATTTCGAACTTGAAAACATTTACTTTATTCTTAAAAGTTGCCGCTATTTATCATTTCAATGTTCTTTCCTCGGGCGAACTCCTCGATTATTTTCCGTATTCCTTTAGTGATAATCCTAAAGTATTCTAAGAAAGTGTCTCTTCTGTACCGAGGGGTTTGCGATTTTGCATTGGCATCGCTAAAGCGGAAAAACATAATTTTCTGATATTTTGAGTGTGAAAGAGAGAACACAATAGTGCGACGTATTTATACTTATTGATACATGATGGAAACGATTTGCGCATGGTGTCATTATAGCTACTGAATTAAGATGATATCACGTCTTAGACAAGGTTTCACCTCTTCATCTTTTTAAAGACTTGAGGAAATTAATAAAGCTGAGGAAATTCAATCGATATTATAATCAGTTGGAATAAAACTAGATCTAATTTCAACAAATTTAATTAACTAACTTAACTTTAATTTGAGATAGAGTGGAATTGAATGAGATGTAGCATTAAAATTTGAATTTCCGCAACTTTAATTTTCTGAAGTTTTTAAAACGTGGATTAGATCGCTAAACCCTCTCTAATAGAAGAATGCCTTCGAATTTTATAAGTAATCGCAAATCTACCGTTAAGACGAAAAAAATCGTTATGTAACGATACAACCTGTGAACTTTAAATTTTCTCGAGATTCTTCTCAGAAGTCTTATTTTTTCTTTTTTTTTTAAATCCATTTATCATATTTCACGGAAATTTAAAAATCAAGAAAATTAAAGTCATTAAAGACATTGGAAACTAAAATGGATTAATCTATAATAATTTGCACAAGATTCTTAAATACTGAGTCGTATTTGAAGTTAATTCTACAAAGTATAAGCTTAATCCATTTTAACAATTTATATAAGTCGTTTTAAACTATCTAATGCTGAATAAATTAGATAGGAAAGAATGAGTCCACAGTTTGCTATAATGAAATAATATTAATGGTTCGTAATATTTTCTCTGCCTTATTTCTGACGCAGTCAGAAAATATACTTGCGATACGCAATTTCGAAGATTTACGGCGCATTCTCGTAAACGCAACGGACTCCAAGTCGCATAAGTTTCGCAAGCGAGGTCGAGCACAATTGATTATACGCAATGCCTGATTCTCAATGGCTGATCTTATCTTAGTTTTTCTTTTCTTTTTTTCAAGAGAAAAGGAGAGAGAAGTATGTCATGTTATTTGCTGAATGCAAAAAATGTCAAGTGAGTAGGGACTAGAGAAAAGTGATAGTGAAAAATTGATTTTACAGTTTGAAGGTGTATATATCTCTCTTCCCGACGTAAATCGATTCTCGTTAACCGAAACGCTCGAGAACGCTAATTAGAAACTCTATATTTGTCGTCGTCCTCCTCGCATGCGTATTTCCCTCTCTTTTAAACGCTAATTTCCGCGACTATACCTATATTACCCGTATACGCTAAACCTTGCACGGGATCAGTGTATATTCACGTAGGAACATTGACAGATTTCTTCTCAGGACTAGGCAAAGAAACCGTCGATTATTGATCGGCAAAGGAATATAACGATCTTGCCGTATAGTATGCAGGGTGTTTCCATCTCGAATTCCGTGGTCGCATATTTTCGAAAATCAATATAGATATTGATATATATATATATATACATTGGAAAAAATTGAAACATATTTTCTCGAAATCATAACGCTGTTTTTTTAAATTTTTGTTATTTTCAAAGTAAATTTAACTTTTTTTTCTTCGTGCTTTACTGTTTTTAAGTTCCTGGATTACGAGATACCCTGTGTAAGAGACGAAGTGCCAACGATTTTCGAACGAATGCTTTTTGAACGCGAAGACGTTTATGCTGCTTCGTTGATATATTCACGATTATACGTACGTGTAGATTTTATCCGCAGCGACAATGGATATATTACATATGATATGCGGTCAGTCGTGCACACTTCATGCTTACATTTGTTTATTTTCCTTGGCAAATATCGTTTTGAAACTCTGCTAATCAGAATTGTTTTTGTGGATAACGATCATCGCTGCCACAAAAAAAAAACATCTTTTGCCTCTTATGGAAACGTAGTCCCTAGAGAGGCATAATTGCAGGCACAATTAGATTAAGAAGATATGCAGCATTTAGACAACATAAAAACTTAAAGAACCTTGTAGAAATTCATATTCAAATAAGTCCTAATTTTTTCAAATGAAAAAAATTCATCTTATCCTTAAAGTCTTTCTAAATGTCTTTTAAATTTTTCTGAAATTAAGATTATGTTAATTGTCGTTATCAATGAGATTTAATATGAAATTCTTTAAAAATTATGCCGTCACTAATATAATAATAAGTATATTGATGTTGTCTTAACAAAGCATTTCATAATTTTTAATGAAATGTTGTTTTATAGAAATCTGTTACTAAAAATTTTAGATTTTTTTCTGCTAAAGTAATTAACTTTATAAACTTTACACACAAGATTTCTATAGATATTGGAACTAAAGTTCAAGAGTTATTCTTTTAAACAGTAAAATTGTCAAAATCTATAGATCTATAGATTATTATTATGTGTATCATTTTATATAGTTAATCATTTTCGCGGCATATCATCTTCATCTAATTATTTTTGCAATTGTTATCGTACAACCCATGTGATCGGAACATTAAGAGGAGGAATAAGTTAATGATATAATAACGATGATCTAAAACAGCAAGTTCCCTAGATCATATTATCGGATCGCCCTGAAGAATCTTGGGAATTTCCTGTGTTAGATCATCGTTATATCACTATTGAGCGAAAAAAATAAAACGGACAATAGAACCAGATTTGCGGAATATAAGAATATTTCGCAAATACGTGGATATAATATTGAACTACTTGGTTGAATTGTCCGTTTTCTTATTTTCATTAACTTATTCCCCCTCTTAATATTTCGATTTATCTCGCGAGCGCACAAATAATTTACGCTTAAAAAGATTTCGCAAAAGACTTAGTCAAGAACTCTTCGCAGTAAAATCTTTCGTTAGGCATGTTCGATCCACTTGATCGCGCGATTCGACCCTCTTTATTTTTACTCTTTACACAAAAATCTGACGATTCTCGAGACTAACGATTGTGGATTTATATGAACGCGCGATTCAAGGATTTCACAAGAGAACCGATATTTTTTCCTCTAGAAAATAAGTAATAATCGTGTTCTTCGATTTTAATTCGATATGTATAATACGTTACATTGATATTTGAATAATAATACGCGTAACACTCAAGAACTAATTTACCTAACGCTTTCATTCCTTTGTTCCAAAAAAAAATTAACAAAAATAACGTTTAAAAATTCGAATAAATTATTACCGAGAACGAAATATATCTATGTCTATAAAACAATCGTTTTGCGAAATCGACTGCGACCAATGGAGCTCTCTGCGTGCGAGGATAATCGGAAGAATCTAAACTTGGCAATATATCGTTTTTAAATACGCAGACTCTGTATAAATCATATTTGCATATGTCGTCCAAATTATCACAATCGTATTCTTATGTCATAAATAAATCTAGAAAAAATTGCATTATATTAAGATAATACTTTTATATCTGAATATCATCTTGTAAATTGGTGAATTTTTTATATATAGCTTTTACATATATATAATTTTTTTATATTTTTCGCTATAATACAATTTCAAATTCGTTCCTTTGACTCTGCCAAGTTTAGAATTAATTTAACAAAGATCCTATTCTATAATTCACACGACGATCGTCGTCGTGAATTATTATATAATTTGATATTGATACTCCTGACTGGCTCCTCGAAAAGTATCGGTTACGCGGAGAGTGATACATGGAATATTTGCGCTATAGAATTCGTTTTACACCTTTCTATCTTTAACACATGCTTTATACGAAAAGTTCTTGCGGTCTATTGTTTGACGTGCGTCCAGCGTCTTTCGCGAAATAATTAATAAATACTTTGCAACTTATACTTACTTTGTAAAACTCGAGATCGCAACCTTATGCAAGATCTCCCTCAACTGCATTTAGTTGTCGCGCGACGTTGAATCATTGATTAGCATCGAATTGCTTAAGATCGATTAAGAATTAAGAAATAATTTCAATTAAGAATACAGTTTTGGTCGACCCGCGGTTGCATTCGAGCTTAGTCTGAATTAAATATATGTAAATTTCTGCTAGGACGAAAGGCCGCTGAACACACGGGACATCCCTCGCCCATCGCATTTTATTTTATAAATTTCTAATAGCTGATGTGAATTGAATTCCTTTTTGATTTTTTTTTTTTTTTAGATTTTACTCGAATCATTTATGCCCGATATTTCATGCACACATACGCACATTCACTCACACTGATCATCCGGTCATCAAGCGAACCACGATATAATAAAGAGGATACCCGCGTCGACGTTTCGCAAAAGTTTTAAATATAATTTCACATGATTTTTTTTTTCGCCACGCAATTGACGCGTTTTGTTTGTTTTATTAATTGAAATCGATTATATCGTTAGTATTCATGTAGAAAAATTTATTAAGAAAAACGGAACGATAGCGACGCGAATGTCCATCTTAGCTAACGAACAAAGACTGCGAAAATAATAACGACTATCCTAAATCCTAAGGCACCTTTCGGCCGCGCGCCGAGAACAGCGAAAAAAAATGAGGAAAAAAAAAATAATACAGCCAGTTCTCGGCAAAAATAACTTTCTCCTGATACTTAAGTAACTTCAAATCATCAACATGCAAACTATTTGGCTATTCGTACCGCATCTGTCGAATTCTCACGAGTTGAATAGCCGACATAGCCCTTTTTAGTTTTCCATAAATCCATGTTTGTTCCGTCCGAACGACCGTATAACGGCGTAATGGTCCCCACAATTACGCACGCGATCAGCATTATTAAGTACGTATGTATATCTGTTTCCATAATTACAATCGGTGTGCAACGGATCTTTGAAATCGGACCGTGATAGTGCTGACACGCCACTGCGTTCGGAACGGATAACATACACACGATCATTTTTCTTTTACCATTTAGTGTCCAAATTACACTTGCCAATCGACGACGTTGGCGCCGACGACGAGGATGCCTTCCGTTCAGCGCCGGGCGCAGCACTTCCAGAGAACGGACTAGTTCGTTTGTTCATTTCTGAAAGAAACAAGTTATCACGAGGTTAACAGAAAATTAGTTTCGAGAAAGAAAATAGGATAGGTTCAGTTTTTGGGAGCAAAAATAGCCTTGTTCGTTATTTTTTTCTCATTAATTATATATACCTAGATAATTTTAAATCATCACATACAGTATTTAGTTAATCAAACAGCTATTTAGCTAGTCAAGTAGCTTCACAGAGATTTCGAGAGAGAAAGAATTTTATAGAATTACAGAGATTTTGACAGTCCTATATAGTAGTAATAGTAGTAATAATTGACAAAATGCAAAGATCAGCTTCCTCAAAATCTTTGTTTTGCTGTTAGATTATGAAAATTCATTTAATCGGACTGCTCGAAGTTAGTTGAGCTGCCCTGCGTGTAAAGTATTACGTACCAGATATTAATAGCATTATTTTGCGCCTCGCACCCCAAGCGGTAATTCCAATTTCACAAAGGTCCTTCTCTGTCAAGGAAGGAAACGTGGCCATGTCCACCTCGTGAGACGTGAACAGGCCTAGCGAATGAAAAGAAAGAAAAAGAAAGCGATGCTACGTTTCGATTTTTTCAAGCAAAAGCAGAAAGTAAAATAAAAGCAAAGCAATGGCACTTAATAGAATAAGGCGTGCAATTACTATAAACGATTGTAACTTGATTATATATACTCACGTATATATTTCTCCAAGCCGATACTGGTCAGCATACTGCCCAGATCATTGAAACGATGGGATGATGTAATTTTATTCAAATGGGAAGTCGGCGTATGATCCATATAATTTGAGGCCATCCCGATCTGCCCAACGCGGTCCTTGCTCGAGATAATACTACCGAAATCCATCTCGGTACTGAACACCACCGGCGTGGTCGGTTCTTTCCATAAATCTGAAGGATGTGGCGTCAGCTCCTGCATCCAAAAAATTTTATTGTCAATGTCTTAATATAATGTTTAATAACTATTAATTCGCTAAGAAAGATTTAAAGATTTTATTAAATGTTTATCGTTAAAGGAATAGCTACTCGATTCAAATATTTAAAAGAAACGTTAATACTTTTTAAGATATCAATCTATAAAACCACAAATATCAATATAAATCTTTGATTTTACTCTCGTCAAAAGTATTGATTTGATTATTTTTTTATACTCAAGAAATCTGATAGCTACCTTGCTTAAGTCACTCGTAGTTATTGGCGGAATACTTTGGCTAAGACCATAACCAGACCAAGCGGACGTTGGTACGCGGAAATCGTTGGTGCTTGATTTATTCTGCATTGCCTTTGTAGCCAACAGTTTCTTCTGCTCATAATCGAAGGGCGTGAGATTCTGTTGCGCAGCCATCTCGAGCGATTTTTTCTCACAACCAGGTGCACGTCGATCGGTAACCGGTAAATCGGACAACATGCTAGATAGATCCGCTGAAAGAAAAACAAACATTTATTTTTAACTTGTAAATATCCCGATCATCAACAACAGCTAGATCGTTGACTTCTTGAAACATTTGACTTACCTAAGTTAGTATTAGTATCCGTAGGATTGACTGGTGAGATGTTACGAGGACTAATGGCAGGACTAGATAAAGAACTAGAAACGCTACTTAGCGAAGAATAAGCTGCAAATAAATTCATTACATAAAAATTAAACCAATTTCGATATATCTTATATACATATAGAGCGTTTAATACGAAAATAACATCAGGAAAAAATCTACAACACTAATTATATTAAAGTACACTATACTTCCTAATTTATTTTTATGTAGCACAGTATTTTCAGATTTAAGGTAAAACTTTATTGAAACATATTTTTATATGTATACTTCGGTAATTTTCTCTCCCTTCAGCTTTCAGATCAAATAATATTACACATGCATTAAAAATTTTTTATCGTTTACAAAAGTTTTTATACTTCCGTTACGAAAATAACGGAAAAAGTGTAATAATAAAAAAAGTTAAATAACAAAAGTGACATGTAAAATTTCGTGTAAAATAAATTCGGGGGGATTACTCACCACTGCCACCATCTTTGCTATCCATCAACGAATTAGCGTTCAGACCGTGGATACCGGAAAAGTTGGTCGGTACATTGTTATGGTGAAATGCTCCAATACCGGGAGGACCGGGAGGCATCACGTGGTTCGATAAACCATGGGGTCCGTGAGAAGTTCCCATTATGTTGTTGTGTAGCATGTGTTGTGTCGTCAGCAGATGATTTATATGAGAGTAGGGATACGGACACAGTGACGAAACATAATGATGAGTGAGGCCCCAGTGTGGCGACAGACCCAGAGAATTCGGTGAGTGCGAAATTGGTGATACGCAATACGACGAATTTTGCGTGTTTACATTTAATATGCTCGAGAAGTTTTCCTGTACGCCGCTAATCAAGTTGTTGTTGGAGCCTATAAATATTAAAAAATTTACATTGATATTAAAGAATAAAATAGTAATAAAAACATATATAAATACAATAAAAGAGTAAACGTAAAGTGGAGTTGATTATTTTCTAAAATTCTTCTTTAATTAATAGTGTTCCGAAAACATGATTAAAATTCAATGTCGCTACATTATAAAAAATTGTAATAAAATTTATCAAAATATTTTGGATATCATATAGTTCTATGTAAGAGCGACGGATTCGTAACTAACAGGTCGCGAGTTCAAATCCCTATCGCCCGTATCCTATATTTACGAAAAATTTCATAATCCGTGCTGACTTAGAATTAGCGGGAGTCACAAAAGAATTCTTTGTATCTAGATGACTCTTTGACTAGGTTCAGACACTCAGTCAGGGACAGTCAGGGACTGATATGTCCCACTCGTTCCCCTTATTACTACTACTATTACTGTCAAAAAATTTACTTATTGAAATTTACTGTGAAAAATTTATTTATTGAAAATCATAAAAAAGCTATGCCACTGCTCGACATTTAAGGAGGTTGTAAGGGCATAAAACACATATATTAATATTTTCGCTTTAAACAAACTACATACATGTGAAAGTT